ATCACGTATTCACATTCCCAAATATAATATGGTGTCCAAGTACAGATATGTATCTGTAAATTCATAATTACATTGGCCATTTGTAATTCGAATTCACCTTACATACTGTTCTCTTTAACCCATTATATTTTATTCCCAATGATACTAATAATGTCCGGGACACTTAACATGCAAATGATAGTTTAAGTCTAGGTATCATACTATAAATACCTAAATCACTTAAACTAAGGCTCTGATACCACTTCTGTAACACCCTCATACTCCACATTTACATAAAATATATTTCATTACATAGAAACATGAATTACATCAAAAGGTCCCACTAGTACAAGGATTACTATATGTACAAAATCTACATATAAAAATTTCCAAAACAAATCATGTACTACTACATGTAATATAACATGTATCCTTTAAAAGTAGACAATTAGGTTAGAAAAATAATCACATTTTCCCTTTCTCTTTTATATCCCCGGACCCAGCTATTCCTGCATTGCATAATTTAAAACAGAAAATGATGATTAGACCATACGGGTCTAGTGAGTAAATCCCTTATTTGCAAATGCAGGGTGATGAACACCAAAATATGAAAATGTAATCTTGGTTTAGAAATACACTGCAATATAACAATTGATGCAGTTCACAATGTCATGCATAAAGAAATATATCCAAGAATCTCACTTCTTTAAAAATACTTCTAAACAGAAATCTTTCCCAGTATTAAAACTTTTTGAATTAAAATACCATTCCTTTAACAGGAAAGATTTAAGGCAAAACTTGCCTGATATGACAAACCGTTTTCCCCTTCTCAATAACATCTAAATTATTACTTCTATATAAGAATAATATCTTTAATTCATCAGGTCACAAAGAAATGATGATTCACAGTTATTAACTCCAATTTAGTAATAATAATAAGAGTCGTAATATTAACATCCACATATGACAATGCCACCCTTATTCCAAGTACACCTCTCCTTGATATGTCACCCTTATTCCTCCAATAAAACAGAGCTACTTATCAGAACAGACATAAGTCACCACGTCTGAAAGTACTCATTCCCAGTTCCAAACCAGAACAGACATAAGTCACCACGTCTGGGGGAACTACCATTTAAAACTCACTTTCATACCAAAACAGACTTACGTCACCACGCTTGGTAGAAAGGTTTCTCAAAATATAGTTTYRTACCAAAACAGACTTABGTCACCACGCTTGGTAGAAACATTTCCCAAAATCCCGTTCCAATACCAAAACAGACTTACGTCACCACGCTTGGTAGGAACATATCATTTATTTTAAAATAATCATTTTATGAATCATAATTAAATAAATATTAAAAACTTATAAAATTTTCAATATAAAATTATCTGGATAAGTTGTCCGGATTTGAAGTCCGGACAACACAGTCTCCTTTTGTCTGGTTTACTAATCCGGATAACACATCTCACCTTCAATGAACGGTTTACACTTAGAATAAAATTCATATTGAACGGATAACTAATCCGGTCAATAATCCGTTCAAGACTCGTCCGGTTTAAGACTAAACCACTCACCACCCTCACCCGGTTTACCAACCCCGGACAACAAACCACTCAAGGTTTGTCCGGTTTAAACTAGTCCGGTCACTAAGCCGCTCAAGGCTTGTCCGGTTTAAAAGCTTATCCGATCAAGCTTTGTCCGATTTAAATGCTTATCCGGTCAAGCTTTGTCCGGATAAACACTTAGACAATAGAATCAAGGTCTCTTTCCAAATAAGAACAATACGAAATATGCAACTGAAACTAGTGAAATCTTTATAAAAAGGTTTAGAAATCACTCACCTTATAAAACTTTTATCACCAAAATGCTAGAAATCGATCCCTTTTGAAACTTGACACTTGAAATCTCCTTCTTTTTGCAAACCGGACAACACTCTTCTCAAAACCTCTCAACTTTCTTAAAATGGCAGGGAAAAGAAAATGAAGAGGTGAAGCCCCTTTTTATACCTTCTAAAAATGGAAAGGTCAGTTTAAAACCGCCTTCCCACACCCCTCCACCTCATGCATGACTCACATGCACACTCACACATACATACATAGCATATGTATGCATAATATAATATCATATATATATATATATATTCACACACAAATATATATATATATATATATATTCAATTAATTCATAAATTCTCATATCGGCATGTATCAATTATCATGCAATCACGTAATCATTTAAATCCGATAATCACATATTAAATACCTTGGGTAATAACCAGGATCTGGTTATCACAAAAATGTTTCAAGTGGATGAAATATGTGGTACGAATTGGAATGATTTTATTTTATTGTTTTAGTATTTTTTTTCTATTTCGGTATGAAAACCTGTTTAAAGTTTATACATGGATTTGTTCAATTTTAAGTTATAAAGATGAGAGTATGTGTGAAACTTTCATTTGGTTAAAATCTAAAGAGTTAATTTTGAGTTTTTAAATGAAAAACAATATGAAAACTGGAAACCTTAATCATAGGATGATAAAGTTGGAGTCATTTCTTAGTAGTTTTTAATGATCTTGGTGTTAAAATATCGATAATAAGTTGTTTATTGCAATGATAAAAAAAGAACAATAAAATTTCCTCATCCTTAATATAATTTTATTTTAATTTATATGTTTCAAATCATAAAACCATATCTTATTTTATTTTCTATAAATAAAATAAGATATGGTTTTATGATTTGATTTGTTTCAATTAAAATTTAATTACATTAAGACCATATCTTTTTTTCATCATGACAATAAAACAATAAAATTAAATCGTATTTAATATAATTAACTTTTAAAAAAATATTCACAAAAATCAGATCATACAATAATATCTTATTTTATTTATTTTGATATATATATATATATATATATATATATTTGTGTGAATAAAAATATTGTTTTTACTTTTTTATAGGAAAAAGATAAAAGAATAAGTAAAAGCTAAAGAATTTATTGATTTAATGGAGTTAACAGAAGCGTTAGTCAAAAGAATTATGACCAAAAAAAATTGAATACCGCAAGTGTTGATCCTCTCTGATTGATTTGATAATAATCCCTTTTACCTGTCGAAGTATAGTGTTTCTGTTTATTCAGTTTCAACGATCATCACTGAGTCTGTTTAGTGCTCGTTGAACATGTATTGTAACTCTCTAGTGACTGTTATATTTCAAGAAGACAAAACTCACACCAAAGAACCTTCAGCAATGTCGAAGACAAAATTTGAAGAATAGAGACCAGCACGTTCGTGATCTGATGCGGCATTCAGTTATTACAAGCTTGTCAACATATGTGTGAAGACCGCACAAGTTTCAGCGAATGCTGTAGAGACCTCCAATGTTATCCCAACATTTAACGATCAAATGAAGGTTATCATGCACGTTTGTTTTTGTCTTGTCCTTCCACACACTAAGGACAAACCCGTACATTTTCCAGAGTATAGTACTGTATGGAGCCACTCAGTTGACTCTATAGTGCTCAACAACTTTATGAAAAGATGTCTGCTCACAAAACAACCAAAATGACTATTTACTGTAGCAAAGGACTAACTTTTCTCCAAAAGCTTGACACTTGTTGTCTACCTTCTGAATTGCATTTAATGCAATAGGTATAAATAACTGAGTGTTCTCTACTCATTTAGAGAAGTTTCTAAAACTTATTTGAGGAAAAAGAAATGATTTTCTTACTCATTCCTGCCAATATATAAGATTGATTTATTATCATTTTATATGAACTATTTTTGAAAGTGTATCAGATTATAAAATTATAGAATATGTTGATCATATAATCGATTTTAAAATCTCGAAAATAGAAAATATGTTGGAATTAAATGTTATTTCTTCTTGAAAAAAATGAACTTTTAATTCTCTATTTTAGAAAAAATGATAATAAATCATTTAGATTTTGAATTATCTTTAGTTGTCGTTTCGGGTGTATCCCATTTTACACAGCTATAATTGATATCATTTTACTAAAATCGATCTCGATGAGTCTGTTATTTATATTATTGCAGTCATCACAATTAATTAAACGATTTCTTTTTTTAAAATGATACATCCATCCAAAAACTAATAAAAAAATGTTTCTTTTTTAAAACGAAAGATTTAAACCAAAGACAAAAGAAAAAAGACCGAACAATACCTTCAAGCTTCAAAGTCTTCCTAAATAATTTAAAATGAAAACATATATATGGTTCTAGGGATCGGAGAGGTATAAGACAAAAGATGTTTACTTCTAAATTTTCCCTAGTGAAATGTTGTACAAGTTGATCTTCAAATTCTATACAAGTCCTCAAGTCTTCCTTCGCCAAAATACAAATTCACTATCTTCATAATTTACGGTATTACCATGTACAGTTCTTGCTCTAAACGCCAGCAAGCCTAAGAGATGAGCACGTCGAATGGGAACACTGATTCAATCGAGTTGAATCCCATCCATCAACAACATCAAATTAACATCGAGAGTACTTCACACAATCAAGCATCACAATCATCACCACTGAATTTACCTCGTCTAGATCTACTCAACGGTAAACTCTTTTCATCATACTCTGATATTGATATTCATCCCTAATCTGAAATAGCATTAAACTTTAAGAAATTTGCAAACAACCATTTGGATATGTTCTACAAGAAAACGTTTTCATTGGAGGTGTCAAAATGAGTCTTTTGTTTAGCATCAATGGATTAAGTTTGGTTTCTTCTATTTGAATTTTATACATAATAAGTATGTACACTAGAAATAAATATTCTATTTGTTTCTCCATAAAGTTGATGACTGATTACATCTATCTATCTATATATCTATATAAAAGCAAAACTTGGAGTTACTTATGTGGCATAATGAAAAGTTTTCATTCATTATTTTTCTTTCTATTTTCTCATAATTTTGAATTTCTTTTAAATAAAAACCTTTTCATTAAATGGGTTTTAACTTTTCATTTAACCTTTCATGGATTTAACAACTTTTAGTTCTATTTTATGTTTGCATGAGTTTATATGTTTTTTTTATTGTTTCACTTTTGTAATATTTGTTTTTCATCAGTATTGATGTTCTTCCTCCATAAATTTAGGTAACATCGTTTATGCTTTTGTAAATTATATGTTGTTGATGCGTGTATATGTATGTGTGTTTCTTCTCAATCAAAAATTTCCAAATAATTTATATGCTTTTGTGTATTAAGTTTTTAGTTTTTCAAGTTCTTTTTATTTTTTATGTTGAACTTATTCACAACTGTTACCTTTGTTTTTTCTCCCTCATACTTTCCAATTGATATTTATGTTGGTGCCACAATTCTTCTTCTTTCATCAAAAGTTTAAATGATTTTTATGGTTACATATATGGTTGGTAATAAGTTTTTGATTTTTTATTTGGAAGTTTTTTACAGTTGTTACTTTTATTCTTCATCTTTTATAATTTTCAGTTGGTATTTATGTCATGCGTGTTTTATGTGAGGTTTGTTTACCCGATTGTTTGATTGATGTCTTGACTTCAAAATGAAGTGGTTGCAATGGGATGATTGAGCAAGGTTATATGGACCCTCTACCTGATAAAACTTGATTTTTATATACATGTTAATATGGATCTACATTTATAAAATTACTTTATAATAATTTTTGTGTAAAATAAACCAATTTATAAATATAATCTAATTTTTTAGGAAATTCATTTAAATTATTTTTTAAGAAATATATTATTTATATTTTAGTACGTTTTAATTGGTAATATGAATTATTATTAAAATTTTAATAATTATTAGTTTTTACTACAAATATTAATTATATATATTTTTTAGTGTTTTACCTTAGTTGAATACTAATGTAATAAATAAAATAATTGTAATTGTTATAATAATAAATTATAATAAAAAGTGAATATATAAATGTTAACGAAAAATAATTTTTTTTTGAAGAAGGATGTAATTTTTGGTCATTTTGAAAAAGTAAGAAGACTAAAAGTGAAAGAAAAAACTCATGAAACTTATTCAAATAATAATGTTTCAATAAATTAACTTATGGAAATCAATCTTAACTTCTTTAATAAACATAAAAAATAAACCAACTTAAGGTTACCAAACATAGCCTAAATCCTTGGCTAAGGCTTTAGTAGAGTACCTCGTTATTACATGATATATGTACACGTCACCATATAGAACATCACAATCAAGAAGTTGCCTTAAAGATGAGTAAGAACTTAGGATCGATCAATGAGCTGAATCCCATGACCTAGTAGGACCATATTTACAATTCAAGTGTTTTACATACTTGGCCACCATGACCGACCAACATCATTGAACCTACTCGTTGGTAAGCTGAACATGTTCCCACAATACTTATGGGGTCATTGTGTGATTCAAATTGAAATCATATTTCAATTTGTTGAAACATCATTGTTGATCAATAACTGGTACTATATTCATTTTCATAATGATTCTTTTATGCTCTTCCCAATGTTCTTGAATACACATTTAAAGATTATCTTCAATTTCATGTTTTTGTAGAGGATATAGGAATATGGATTTCCATGCCAATATATCATATGACACATAAGTAATAACTTGACAATCACTTTGAAGGTGAAAGAGATGACTTCAATACAATTTGTGTTCCTCTATATAATGCATCAACAATTGGGGATTTGGAAGCTGCTAAAGTCATCCTTGATAAGCGTCGAGAGCTAGTACGATTTAGCATCATTGAAAGTTATGAAACAATGCTTCACATTGCAGTATTGAGCAAATCGTACAAGTTCGTGGAATATCTGATGAGTTTGATGACCGAGGAGGACATAAAACTTTCAAATAGAAATGGAGAAACGGCCTTCTATTTAGTTGCTAGAGTTGGAAATGTTAAAATGGCTCACATTTTGGTGAAAAAGAACAGGGGCGTGATAAATATCACCGATAGTCAAGGAAGGATGCCACTCCACGTGGCTGCTTTGTTTGGAAGGCGTACCATGGTTCAATACTTATATGATGACTCTGACAAAATGAGTGGAGGTTTCTGGACACATCAAAATCGAAGTTGGGTTCTTGAGGCATGTGTTGAGAATTGGTTATATGGTAAGTATTTTGACATATAATTTTTGCATATTAGCTTCATGTTTTGTTATGATTCGTCTATCTTTTAAGTTTTACATCATGTTTTGTAATTTCAATAGGGCAAGAGTCACTTGCACAAGATAGAAAGCATGTGTAGATTCAATCTAGTGGATGATAAGATGCAAGACCCTCAATTGCCATGAACACATACATCATACTTATCTTATGAATTATCATCAATGACATGAATATCATGACAACTAAAACAACGTGTAGTAGAAATATCTTATAAAAACTAAATAATATCTCAAGACTTACACCACTAAGTCTAAACAAAATCCTCAACTGGAGTAAAAATTAACAAAACAAATATAACTAAAATTAACTAATAGATGCTTAATTTAGTTAAATTTATTTAATGAACATACAAAAAAGAGTAGTTGTGTAATTTTTTTATATTCATGAAAACTCATATATATATATATATATTCTCCTGCGCGTATATATATGCGTGTGTGTAGTACTCTAATGATATGATGATTATGATGTGGAAGAAACTACAGGGAAGAATCTCTTGAGGACTGATAGACATGGATCTTGTTGAAACTAAGCTAGACCGTTAGTGACAGTTAATATCATTTGTATCTGTTAGGAAGGGACATGACAGTTACTGTCATGTCTGTCTAGAATGGTTGTGTCATTTGGATTTGAAGGGTTGTGTCCCTTCCTTGTATATATAATTGTGTCTGTAACAAACTATCCATGGTTGGTTCGAATGAATAACTACTTTATATACTCTAATTTTGTTCCAACATTATGGTATCAGAGCCCAGATGATGGCTTCATCTTCAAATACTATTTTACATCCACAACTTCCCAAATTAAATGAGAATAATTATTACCACTATACAAATGAAGGTATTGTTCGAATAAAAAGAATTATGGAACATACTCGAAGAAGGAATTGAAGAACTTAATCAGTTTGAAGATGTAACAGATGCACAGGAAGTACAATTGAAGGAACAAAAAAAGAAAGACAGAAAATCCCTTTATATACTATATCAAGCAGTAAATGAAATTATGTTTGAGAGGATCTCATTTTCGAAGTCAGCAAAGAAAGCATGGGACACCCTTCACAAGATATATCGTGGAGAAGAAAGAGTGAAAACAATCAGACTACAAACATTAAGATGTGAATTCGATGAATTGAGAATGAAGGAATCAGAAACAATTGAGGAATTTTACAATCGGGTAATCATGCTAAGAAACCAATTAAGATTAAATGGTGAAGACATGGATGATAGGAAAATAGTTGAAAAAAATCCTAAGGAGTCTTACAAGGAAATTTGAATATATAGTGGTGGCAAACTGGCAATTGAAGAATCTAAGGATATCTCTTTCGTATCCCTTGAGAGTATAATAGGTACTCTTCAATCCCATGAACTTGGAATCAAACAATTTGATTCAACTCCTTATGAGCAAGCATTTCAGATTCAACAATACAATTCACAAGAGGAAAACATATTCTTTGATAAGAAACAACAAACAGATATGAAAGGGAGAGGCAGGGGAAGACCATCAACACCTATACAATGCTATCACTGCCAGAAATTTGGACACTCAGCAAGATTTTGCAGATATAGAACAACAGAAGAAAGAGACAACAATTTCATAAACAACAACTTCATCAATATCGAAAGTGATGATACCATGTTTATGATACTCAATACTCAATAAGTTTCTACAAACAACACTTGGTATATAGATAGTGGTTGCAGCAACCATATGCCAAGAAATATAGAATTATTTGTTCAAATTGATGAAACACAGAAGAGGGAAGTTAGAACAGGTGATGATAAAAGGCTAAATGTTCAAGGAATGGGAGACATTCTCATTAACACTTTGCATGGACAAAAGAGAATTTTCAGCCTCTACTACAATCTTGAGTTAAAACACAACCTATTCAGTGTAGAACAACTACTATAGAAAGGCTATGAATTACATTTGAAAGATAAGTTGTGTGAAGTAAGGGACATATATGGCAGTCTCATAGGAAAGATCCACATGATAGGTAATAGGATGTTTCCTTTAAACTTCAATGAAAACACTTTGTTTTCATTCAACATATCCACAAAACAGAACACTATGCTATGGCATCAAAGGTATGGGCACACAAACCTTAGCTACTTAAGCTGTATGCAAAGGCACAATCTTGTTAAAGGATTACCAAGTCTAAGCAGATTAGAAGAATTCTGTGAAGGTTGTATGATGGGAAAACAGGCTAGAGACTCATTTCCTCAAGAACACACTTGGAGAGCCACAAAGCAACTAGAGCTTATCCATACAGACTTGTGTGGTCCCATGAAAACCCCTTCTATTGGAGGTAACAGGTACATACTTACCTTCATAGATGACTACAACAGAAAACTCTTGGTTTAATTTTTAAAAGAAAAATCTGAGGTTTTTAATGTGTTTAAAGTATTCAAGGCCTATGTTGAAAAACAAAGTGGTCACATGATCAAAGCCATTAGATCAGATGGTAGGGGAGAGTACAACTCCTCATACTTCCTTGATTTTCTTAAAGAAAATGAAATCCATCATCAGATGACCATTAGATACACCCCTCAACAAATGGGGTAGCTGAAAGGTTAAATAGGACCATTGTTGAAAAAGCAAGAAGTATGCTAAAGAGCAAGAATCTGGAAAATTCTTTTTGGGCAGAAGTTGTATGTTGTGCCTACTATTTGTTAAACAGGACCTCAGCTAAAGCACTCTCAAATATGAATCCACAAAAGGCCTGGACAGGTTTTAAACCTGCTGTTGGACATCTCCGAATCTTTGGATGTGTGGCCTACTCACACATCCCTGAACAAAAGAGAGGTAAACTTAATGAAAAGTCAGAAAAGACTATCTTTGTGGGTTATAGTGATAAATCTAAAGCTTACAAGCTTTATAATATCATTAAGAAAACCATCATTAGCAGCGATGTTGTATTTAATGAAGGGAAATCCTGGAATGATTTACCAAGGCAAAAAGGGAACAGTCCACAGGTTGTGACAACTACAGAAAGACAAGAAGAAATCAATGAAGATCAAGAAAATACTATATCTGAGGCTGCTCTAACACTCCTACAGCCTCTCAATCATCTGAAAACTCAAGCTTTCTTATAGACAACACTGAAAGTCCACCAAGAAGAGGCTATAGAAGTCTAAGGGACATATACAATGACTCAAGAAGCCTGAATTTCAGTGACACAACTGATTTTGCTTTATTTTCAGATGCTGATCCATTTTCTTTTGAAGAGGCTTGGTGTAACACTCCATACCACACATTGCATGTAACACATACTTCATACGGAAGAAATACATGTTTATATAACACTCAGGTCCCTTAGTACAAGAACTTACCATACTTAATACATGTCCAAAAAAATTCAAAATACATTTCTTGTACTAATCAACGTTCATTAATAAAAACTATACATCATAGACAAATCTTCATGCAGATATGCATATAGGAAAATATCACATTTTCCCCTTTCCTTTACCGTTCGTACATCCTGCAATACATATTTAAAATCACTAAACGAGGGTTAGACCGAAAGGTCTAGTGAGTTACCCTATTTATGTCATTGCAGGGTGATAATAACCAAAACTTTGTATAAAATAACTTTTCATATATATAACAAATATATGAACAAATAAGGATATAATACAAATACCTTTCCACTTTTCAAGCCAAGCATTCAGCTATTCAGATAACACACCACAAACCTTTATAGGTTTGAATCAACTAGGTTCCATATAATGTCACTTTTAAACCTTTCCAATTAAACAAGGTTTATTAAAGTTTCAGGCCAAACGTGTTATTTCCTTCTCCATAACATCCAGACCTTGATTTCCAATAAAGACCCTGATCATAAACCTTTAAATCACAAAGAAATAAAGATTCCAGACCACGGTAATTTTAAAGGATATAATAGTAAGTTATATCACATAACACACACACACACAAATGCCACCCTTATATCCAAAGGTACACCTCTCCTTGATATGCCACCCTTATCCCATGGTACACCTCCTTGATATGCCACCTTTATTTCTTAATCAAAACATTTCACAAAAACAATTCCATATAGAATTAGACCGTAGTCTATGGAATTATTATCAGTTCAAATTTATCTTTCCAAAATTTCTCATTTATATATGAAACAAGTCAAAATGCAAATTCGATTAAATTAGACTTGGCCGGACTTCATTTCGGGTCAAGTTTTGGCCGATTTACCAAGTCCGGACAACAAATCGCCCAAGGCTTGTCCGATTCACCATTAATCTGGTCAACTTTGTCCAGATAACAAATCCGGAGAACACTTTACATAGCTTGTCCGATTTACCAATCCGGACAACTCATAATTCAAGGTTTTATCCGATTTAAACAAACAGGTTACCTCATAGTCTTATTCCTACTTATCCGTTCAAAATACTTGATATAAACTCAATGTTCATAAATCGCTTAACACATGTCCGGTTTAAGACTAACTCGCTTTAACACTTGTCCGGTTTATGGCTAATCCGGACAACACTCCAGCGGATAACTTTTATATCAAAAGTAAAGTTCTTCAATCAATTATACAACTATGAAGAGTTTAAAAGTAGTAATAATCACTCACCTTTTTGAAATTAATCTTCTTGAAATTCCAAATAAGGAAATCCGGTCAACACAGACTCTTTTTAAATCGCTCAGTTTATTTCAAAGATGGCAAGAGAAGTAAATGGAGGTCTCACCTTCCTTTTATACTTTCCCTTTAGGGAAAGTCGGCTACTACAGCCGACACCACATACATGCCTTCACCCTTAAATCATATAACCACACACACACACACACACACACACATATATATATATATATACACACTTATGCACACATGCATATACATGCATGCATATCATACATATATATATATCATACAAACATGTGCATCCACAAATACACATAATCTCATTCATTTATCTATATTATGC